GCCCGGGCCGGGCTTCGGGCCGGCAGGCTTTTTGGACGCCCCTAATTATGGATTGGCTTTTTGAAGAGTTCCACATTATTTAACATTGTTAACATGATGGATGACCTAAGTCTATATGAGAAAGGCATAAAGCCATATGGAGACACACAGGAAATTGCAAAAATTAAAAAAGGCATAAAGGCATATGGAGACACACAGGAAATTGCAAAAATTAAAACTAAGATGAAAAATTATGAATTTGCAAGTCCTATCAATCTCCGTGTTGTATTGCATCTTCTCCATAATGGGTGGATTTCATTAGAGGTTTTTTCTTTTAAAGAAGCTATTTTTCTAAAGATATTGGGATGAGCTTCATTTTCAAGTCCTATCAAGTCGTAATTAATTTCAAGGTTCGATTAATACAGCTCCCACCAGAAAAGAAGTCCTACACCCTTCTTCGTAACTTTCCTCATTTTCAAGAGCAGTTATATATTTCACCGAACTCGGTCCTTTTTCATCCGGATTCATTCTCAAATAATCCATCGCGTGTGATTTCACCATCAATTTATTATGAGCTTTTGTGGTGTGAACTCAAGAAATAAGAGTCTCTTGTCTTGGACATACATACTGTTAGGACATAGTTTGAGAAGAACGTGTGCAATATTTCTTGTTTAATTAACAACAAACCCTCATTTGCTACTAATATGTTTGTGAGATGAAATATTTTAGGTATAAATAGGTACGAACAAGTTGCGGTTCAAACTAATGCAAAAATCAACACAAATGTTGATTTCGGCCTTTGAACTATCGATGGTCACGAGGCACCATTTATGGTCAAGTCAAGCCATTGATAATAAGAAAGAATCGGAAAAACATAAATTATATTTTAAACCATTGATGGTCTACAGTCGACCATCGATGATCGCAAGGACCATCGATGGACCACAATCAACGATCACAGAATCCAAAAACCAAAATTTGCACAATCAATGCACTACAATCAACCATTAATGATCATCAATGGACCATCGATGATTGTGATCCACCATCGATGGTTGCAACGAGTTTTGGCAGATTTCAAGTTTTAATCTCAGTTGTTCGTTGATTCTTTTGATCTTCTATTTGGACTCTAATTAGGGTATCTCTTTTCTATGCTATCAAGGCCTACTTAAAGGGGAATTAATGAAAAGAAAAAAGATTGACAACAAGAAGAGAGCCAATTGCATAAAAAGTGAGATCGTATTCTAGGGTTCGTGAGAGAGTTTGATATAAGGATGCAACCCCTGGAGCCTCGTTCAATTTCTTCTCATCGCACTCATCATCGAAGGATTATTTCAGTGAGGAGAAGTGCCCTTTGCGTTCAACTTCAACATCACTTCTTCACGGATCTTCATCGTCATCGATTTGAAGGGCGGTTTGTTAAAGTGATATAAGATTTTTCCAGTTATGCTTTGAATTATTTTGGGTTTGTTTTGTATTTCAAACTTGACAGTTTGACGGCTTACTCAAGTCGGGGTAATTGAGGGTTAGCGTACTCAAGCCAGGTCAATTAAGGGCGTACCTAGCTAGGAATAGGTTTTTTCTGGTCATTATAAAGAGTTAGGTTAGACGATCAGTTTCGGGTAGATTCCAGAGTGCGGGTCTTTGAAGCTTACTGAATCGGGTTGTGATTCAGATAAACTCTAATCATAGTAAGT